TAATTCTTGAAACCCGTGATATATACCCTACATGCCCTTTATTTATTTTTTTCTTAAATAAGTCAGACTGGGATTTATAGCCTGCAACCAAGAATATTGCTGGCTACACTGGGGCATATTCTACCTGAAATAGAGTAAGAAAAGGGCCTGATTCTAGGTCAGGGCAGGTCCAAAGCCTGCATCCTTCAAGTGAATGAAGCTCAGGGTCAATCTCAAACCACCATATTAATTCCTAACAAGCTCAGAAACCAGCAAAGCGGGCTTCCCAAACCACCAGTGAAGACCTTTCAAGCCTTATCCATCCCAGGCCCCCTTTCTGCCCTCATCAAATATTCTTATTTTATTCTCTTACTGCTGCCTTCCTAACTCTCATCTTTGCAAGAACATCTCCTCAGTCATAATGTCTTCTTCAAAGACAGCCTTGCCTCTGACCACCATGCCGGACACACAATCCTTCACACACTCCTGAGCACTTACCATTTAACACGGCAAAGACCTCAGTCACATATATGCATTTGTTCCTAATCAACAAGGCAATCGTTCACTCATTCCTTCATTCAACCAATTCAAGAAGGTCTCTGACTTTGAGGAAAGCCCCTATTCATCGGATTCTGGACCTTTCCACCTGCACTTCCTGGAGTATTTGGGAACCAAGCTCCTGCTATGTAAATATTTGGCTCCAGCCCCACATTCAGATCTGATGACCAGGCCCCCTTTCGAACTGATGTTCTGTGGGGAAAAGTAACAGAAGAATGGGAGGGGGGTGTGAGAGAGTGAGACCACGTTCTTTTCTCCCTCCAGACACACAGTCAGGTGATTAGAGACCTAGGTTGCTTCTGAAATTGGCTCTCTGGGGGGGGGAGAAACGGGACAGAACAGGAGGTGAAAACATGAAGAAAGGGCCCAACTGCCATGGGACGCTTCTGTTATTCACTTGAAGGAAAACATTTTCTGAAATTAAAAGGGATCCTTAGATGTCTAAGGAATGAAAGCATTTGTTTTTCTTCTTTTGTGGAGGTCTGCTTGGGAAGACAGGAGCTGCGGGAGGGAACAGAATTCATAAGATGACAAACAGCCCCACCCAGCTTCTCTTCTTCTGACAGTTAACACGCATACCTGTGCATGCACACACACGTACATATATGCACAAACATGCACACACCCACACATATGCACACACCCAGCTGCATACACCCATGCACACACTTGCCTGCACACACACACATATGCACACACTCAAGCACACAGCCACCTGCACACACGCACACACAGAGACACTAATGCACACACCCACCTGCACACACACAGACACAGACACTAATGCACACACCCACCTGCACACA